AACAACAACAACAACAACAACAACATATTTCTAGTGAGGCTCTTGCCTTCCAGCTCACTGACTCTCTGTTTCATCTCTTCAGCTCTACATTTTTGTTCATCCAGCTTGTTGAAAACTTGTGCTATATTGTTCCTAATATTCTGGATTGCATTTTCATGCTTTTCTGTTATTGCCAGTACTGTGTTGCTGTACCTCTCTGTATTGTGATGATTTCCCCCCCCACCTTTTTTTTAGGTTGTTGTAACTATGTAATAACCCAGGGTATGGAAATATTTATCTCCTCTGGAGAACAGCAGCTAGAGGATGAAAGACACCCAAGTGCTGAGGACTCTCCTTCATAGGGTCTCTATGAGTCACCTGTGACTTGACAGCATTTAACAACAATAACATCAACACAGAGAGAGAGAGATCAGCTGGCCTAGAGGACAAAAAGCGATGCTACCAAGCCAAAGGTGGGTGACTTTTAATGTGTGGCCCTCGGGCCTGTCTTTCATTGTTTTTTTTCAGACATTCCTCTAGGTTGTGTAGCCCTGAAGTACAAGTTGCCGTACAGCAGTAACTTGTGGTTGCTGTGAGGCTGAACACTGTGACACTGATGTGTCAAATGTGTTAATGGTTGGTTAACCACTGCATACGAGAGTGGGGTGGAGCTCCCCAATTAAAACAAGCTTGGAAGGAGGAGTGGTATCCACTTCCGTAATAGCTTGCCTCCGGAAACCCTATGAACCTGGAGAGAGGATGAAAGACACCCAAGCATTGAAGACTCTCCTTCATAGGGTTGCTATGAGTCGCCTGCAACTCAATGGTACTTAACAACAACAACAACTGAGGTAGAGCAGTCCATCTGAAGCAGGATGATTGTTGCCCTTCTGAAACCATACCTCCACTCAGCCTCTTCTACTTGAGCTTAAGAAATCCCACGTGATGTATCTAGGCTGCAGTGTTTAAGGTCAAAGTATTTGTGATATTGATGCTCCTGGCACTGGACAGCAGGGGTGGCAGCTGGGTGCTAAGGTAAGATACCCCAAGGAGTGGATCTTGTGTGAGGAGTGAGTCTTGCAAGAGGAGGAGATATGTACCTTACATTTGAATATAACTAAAAAATTTACATTTTTAAATAAAGTATCTCATAAATCATCATAAGAAGAAAGTGTTTTAAATCTCAATATTAATAACCATTTGTCTTGAATAGTGACTTGGAACTATGATATTTATTTATTGTTTTTAAAATTAAAGATTGTGTTTGTATAATATACAATTTGAGCAAACAATTTGAGAAGTTGGAATAACAGAAGAGGAAAATTTGGTATAGCATGGATGTTTGGAAAGAGTGATCTAGATGATAGTGGTTGGTCTTTAAAATCAAAGCTTCTTGTCATATTTTTGTTCCACATATGATAACTATTACATGTAATATGTCTCTTTTCCAGTTAATAAAAAAAACACAATTTACAAAAAATTACTGACAGCAAAAATTTGTGGATTTAGCTGAAGTAGAGAGGAAAAGGGAAAAAAAAATCACTACTGAGCAAAGGATAGTCATCATCATTCTTAAAATGCTATCAACTCTTCATCACCACTGTAAATGCTTACTACATTCCACTACCAGCCAAAAGTTGATGGATCCATTCTACCTGGAAACATCTTGGGAAAAAGGCCTGGCAATCTACTATAAAAGTTGGTGTCGTCGAGTTGGAACTGACTCATAGCTGAACCTGCATGGATATCCACTGTATATCACACAGAAGGAGATTGCCCATCCTTCTCCCAAGGAACAGCTGGTGGATTCCAGCCACCTGTCATTTGATTGGCAACATAATCCCTTACCTACTCTGCCTTCAGAACTCTCTCTCTAAATACTAGTTACTGGGAAAATTTTATATGACACTGTTGTACCCTGACACTCTTGTGGTAACTGTGAATTGCAGTCAGCACAGCTAATTATTTTTCCTGGCTACCACAGAGATCAATATATCCTTTTTGGTGTACATCATTCTGGCTTTCATCTTTCTCACACTTATTCTGTCTGCCATTACCTCTCTCCTTTCAAGAGCAAATAAAAACAATTATTTCCTTTGCCTTACAGAGAGTAGTTTACTTTCTCTTCAATATCATGGCATCTACCAACACCCAGGTCCTTGAATAAGGGTAAGGAGCACATATTCTGCTATCAATATTCTTAGAGCCTCTTTCCAAAATCAGTTCTCTCTTGAGAATCTGAGTGCCAGTTCTTACTACCTCATTACTTCTTTATATTTTCTATTTTTGTTGTTGTTGCTGTTGTTGTTACGGGTGATCAAGTCACCTAAGACTCATAGAGACCCTGTGTATAACTGCTCTGAAGCTTGCCCTGTCCTGAGTCAGTCTGACTGACTGACACACCAACCCCCATTGCTCCAGTCACTGTATCAATCCATCTCATCCAGGGTCTTCCTCTCCTTTGCTGTCTTTCCATGCTTCCAAGAATCATATCGTTCTCCAAGAACCAATCTCTCTTAGCAACGTGCCCAAAGTATGTGAGATATAGCTTAAAAAAATCCTAGCCTCCAAGAACAAATTTAATTTCACCCTTTCTAAGACAGAACAATTTGTTTTCTTGACAGTCCATGGTATGTTCAACAATCTTCTCAAACATCAAAGGCATCATTTTTTCTGCCATCCTTAGTTACAGTCCAGCTCTTTGTTGCGTAGCAAGTAATTGCTAAGAATATGGCCTGAATAAGACACACCTTAGTCTCTAGACTGACATATCGTTGCTCCCCAATTCAATTAGTCTTTTGATTTCCTGACTACTGGTACCATGAGTATTGATTGTGAAGCCAAGCAAGCTGTAATGTTAGCTTTTATCTCTTCTCCATCTATCATGGTGCTCCCAATGGGCCCAGTGGTGAAAATCTTTGTCTTCTTGATGTTGAGCTTCAATCCACATTGAAAGTACAGTCTTCGACATTCTGCACAAAGTGATGCAGGTCCTTGTCAGTTTCAGCAATCAAGATTGTGTCATTAGCATAGCATAGTTTGACCATAAATCTTCCCCCAACCCTGATACCACATTCTTCCTCAATTAGCCTTTCTTCCTGAATGATCTGTTCTGCATATAGACTGTAAATGTATGGAAACAGGACACACCCCTGATGCACTCCTTTCCTAATTTTGAACCATGCAGTGTTTCTTTGTTCTGTTCTGAGGACTGCTTCCTGGTCTGAGTAAAGGTTTCGTATAAGCACAATTAAGTGTTCTGGAATTCCCATTTTCCTCAAGGTTATCCACATTTTGTTGTGATCCATACAGTTAAATGCCTTTGCATAGTCAATGAAACACAGATAGACATTTCTTTGATACTCTTTGCTCTCTGCCAAGATCCATCTGACATTGACGATAATGTCACTAGTACCATGACCTCTTCTAAACCCACCTCAGAAATTTCTGGATAATCTTCAGCAAGAATCTGCTTGAGTGTGATACTATTGATGTCACTTGATAATTTCTACACTCTGTTGAATCACCTATTTTTTAGAATAAGGATAAATATGGATGTCTTCCAGTAAGTTGGCCGGGTAGCTGTTTCCAGATTTCTTTGTATTACCTGGTGAGCACATTCAGGGCAGCATCTGTTTGCTGAAATAGTCCAGTTGGTATTCCACCAATTTCCAGGGCATTATTTTTTGCCAAGTCCTTCAGAGCAGCCTACACTCCCTCCTTCATCATCATTGCCTCTTGATCATATGTTGTTCCTTGAAATTCTTCTGTCAGTCAATTCTTTTTGGTAAAATAACTCTGTATGCGCCTTCTATCTTCTTTTAATGATTCTTGGGTCATTTAATATTCTACCCATAGCATCCTTAAGTACTGCAACTCATGGCTTAAATGCATTCTTTAGTTCTTTCAGCTTAAGAACTGCTGACCAAGTTCAACCCTTTTGTTTTTACTACTAGAGCTCCTTGCACATTTCAGTATAATTCCTTACTCTGTCTTCTGATCTGCCCTGCAAAATTTTCTATTCAGCTCTTTTACTATTTGAACTTATCAAGTATTCAAGCACAAAAGGAAGTCAAACTTCAGATCTTCACTCCACAAAGATTAATATTTGCTATATGTAGGATATCTACATCTCTTTTTCTGTGT